CATCATTGTAACACAGTTTGCCTGCAGTCACTGCAGTCCAGGCAGCAGCAGTCAACCTTCGAGTTCTGTCTAGTTCGCACACGCTCTCACTCTCACTCTCACTCTCACACCCGCAGCCACATCAATATCCACTCCCACTCCCGCTCACGCACTCACACACACACACACTCACCCACACACACAGATACAGGCAGATACTTAGAACGGATAAGGGCGGGCGGGCAGTGAGTCGTGGCTGATCTCCAGACATAAGTACACCAGACAAATTATCTACAAATTTACTATCTCTTTTATGTATAACATCTTGTTATGCGGTTAGTTATGTCGGTATTCTGCTGTTGCTTCTGCTGCTGATGTTGCTGCTGCTGCTGTTGTCACTTGGTTTGATGTATGTTGCGGAGTTTTCATTAGCTGCTGATGGTCTTTCTGCTCCTGTTGCTCCTCCATCTCCATCTCCATCTCCATCTGCTTCTTTGCCTTGTGGTTTGGGCCAGCATTGAGTTGGCAATTTGCTGTTGACGTTGGGCTGTCGCCTCCTATAAAATCAACTGTTTGCCTGTCATCCATCATTGGCCAGGCTGCTGCTGCTGCTGCTGCTCCAGCTCCAGCCCCATCGTCTGTTGATTCTTTTGACGTGGCAGCTGCTGATGTTGTTGCTACTTGTGCTCCTGTTGCTGCCCCGTCCGGCTTGTTATTCTCCTGCTGGTCATTCATAATAGCATGAGCTTCTAGTGGACAGCTTTGCTTTTCACCTGATGCCGCTGCTGTCAGTCCCCCCTCGGCTTTCAGAAACTCTGGCAAATTATTTTCTAATTGCTTTGCCTTTGGCTGGGACAGCGATTGGGACACCGAGTGGACGTGTATGTGGGTTTCGATACCGGTCTTGGTACCGTTCCCGTTCCCGGTCCCGTTTCCTGTTCCTGTTCGGGTCGTAAGCTCCTGATTTGGTTGTTGAGTGGCAGCCATTCCACCCACTACTGGTTTTCCAGTAGTTTTATCCGACACATTTATAATATCCGCCGCAACGGAATTTGGATTTTCCAGCGCCTTGGACACGCCCGGCTTTTGTCCGCCCCCACCAGTTTCAGCTTCATCTTCCTGAATTCCTGCTGCTGCTGCTGCTGCATCATTTATGCCTCTTGTCGGCTCCTTGCGCCCCTGATTTGTTTCGACATCTGGAATATGCAAGGAATTCGAGGGCAAAGTGAAAATAAAACAGGAAATGACAAGCGAAACATTTACAGTGAATACTTTTCGAGGGAATTGAGAAGTAATTTCATGCGTTTTCCGATTATTGTACATTGTAGATACTCAGACAAACACACACTCGTAGAGCAGAGGGATCCGGAAGGGAAACGGAAGAGCAAACGGACGGACGGACAGAGGAGCTTTCGTGGTGGCCAGGTCGAAATGAGGCAATATTAAATGTGCTTCATGTTTGAGTAGTCCTCTGATGCTGGTCCCCTGACTCTTTCCCCCAGGAGAAGCACCCCTTGGATATGGCATTTATTGCCATTGAATCTGTTATTTGGTTATTTGTGTTCCTTGTTCCGCTATTACGGACAAGCGGACACACGCACACACGGACACGGACACGGACTTTTCCCCACTTCTCGGGGTGGAGCTTATATTTAAATTTATCTTCCAAATGATTTCACACACAGCCAGAAAGGGTTTCATGGCAACGTACACAAAAAAAAAGGAAATTCAGCAAAAGCTGGCACGCAGAAATATTCGAAGATGCAATATTCTTTCTATACAAAAAACACTCGAAACGGAAAATGGAAAGCAGCATTCAACTGGTACGAGTATGTGTGTGCTTTAAATGCAGCGAAAGTAAGGGAAATGTAACTTAATTCTCTTCTATAAAGTGAGTGGTTTTCAGAAATGAAAAACTTGTATTTCCGGTTACGGTTCAAAATGCGAATGGAAATAGATTTCCACTGACTTTTGCCCATGAATCGAGCTTTGGATTACGCTTCTGGGTATTATGGCCATAGTAAGGGTATACAAGCGGATGCGAGTTGCCAAAGTTAAGAGTTTGAGCCTCGAGTGTGGGCATAGTCAATGAAGTGTGCCGACCTCAATTAAGGCCGGGCGGGGGTGATGTGATGTCGCCAAAGCTCACCTGCTGCTGCGGATACTGTTTCGACTGGTGTGGAGGTTGCTGCTGGTTCTGTTGCTGGAGCACTGCTGTCGGTTGCTGCCCTCGCCTGGCCACCCTCCGCTACTGCAGCTGCTGCTGCCCTCTGGTTTGCGGCGGCGGCGGCCGCGGCGGCAGCAGCAATGGCTTGCACCTGATTGCGCAATTCCGGCATGTCGGCCATATTGACTCGCTGCAAGAGGACATGCATCATTCGACCGTTGCCGCCGTGGCCGACAAAGACGCGCCGCACGGTGGGAAACTGGTCGCGACGCTGCAACAACTGCCCAACCAAGGGCAGACGCCTTAAATTCGCCAGTGCAACGGCCACGGCAGCATGCCTCTGGGGCTCGACTGGCTGCTGGTTTGGCTGCAGGTTCTGCTGCTGGTGCTGACGTTGCTGACGCTGTGCACCCAGTTGACTGAAAAGACGGTTCATAATGTGGATAACACGTTGAAAGGCCGCCTGCTGTTCCACGGGTACAGGTACAGCTCTGGCTCCTGCTCCTGCTGCTGCTGCTGCTGCTCCTCCTCCAGCTCCTCCTGCTCCAGCAGCGGCACCGGCAAGCGGGTTCACCTGGTTGCGTGTGATGATGAAGACCTGATGCTGGGCCATGATGGCAGGCAGCTCATACCGATGGAAGAAGAACACCATCGAGTGCTGCAAAAGCAAAAGAGAAAGAGAGGGAGAGCTAGAGGGACAGATTTGAGTGTGTGTGCTCTGACGGAAGCGGTTATGCCATGATGCCATGGTGCCCCTGGATCCATCCTTTCGTTCAGTCGTCAGCCAGCGACTGTCGTCAGTCTCTGGTCGTGGCACGTGAGCTGGCTCCGGTCTACACGTGCGTCGGCAAGGGGAAACAATACGACAATGGGTAATTTGTCATGCACTTGACAGGCGTAAACATTCCCCTGGAGCAGAGCTAGCATCATCGTTCCCCCACTCCCCACTCCCCATGCCATAGCATTGCATAACGCATTCATTATGCGTCATACCTGTAGCTACCAGCCACCCACCTGAATGAAAAGGTACGACGAGAGCAGTGCCAATGTCCTGTACTGTCCACTGAACCGGTAGTGATACGCATAGAATGCGAAATGATACAGATAGAAGAACCTGCAAAAGGCGAAATAAATAAAGAAAATTCATAAGGATTGTTGAATACAATTTGCGGAATGATGCTGTAGAATTTAAAGTAAATCAACGTTCATAAATGTTGCACGATAGATTTGTGATATTACTTGGCCCAAAAGTGGTGTCAGGATTGTTGGACAGCAATCCAAGGAAGTAAAATATAATGTACACACCGCATACTAGAGGTATGTAACCCTCATCAACCTTCAGCGATTGGAATGGGTCGGATGGCTGGGCGATGCCAATGGGTGTGTTGGGTGTTGGGTTTTGGGGGTGACAATAATGATTACCATTCGATAATATTGTATTTAGCTGACAGAAATACTAAAAAGCGAAAACATATTGCTTTCACTGTTCAGTGTTTCTATTTCTATTTTTCTTTTCTTTGCCCCTACCTCCCCTCTCTGCCGCTGCTCCTTCGAGTGCTCCTTGCCGTTGCTGTGCCGAAAATAAGCCAAGGAGAAATGGGTCAGACATATGGCGAGGCAGTGGGCAGGGATGGTACGACATTAGAGTGTAACAAGCAACAGTCGCTGAGGCGGACAAATATCCAGGACGGCCGACTGTCAGGACAACAATGGCCCCAGGAAGGACGGAAGGACGGAAGGAAGGAAGGAAGAAAGGAAGGAGTGAGGGTAGAAAAACACTCAAGAGGATTTAATAATATAAATAATTGCTGGCGCTGTTAGTTGAATTGTTGTTCACCAAAGACAACAAATAAAAAACACAATGGATGGCCATAGCAACAACAGCAACAACAACAACAACAACAACAACCACAATAACATCGCACAGAGGCAGTAATAATGACAACGAACACCCACTCACCCCTCTCATTGATAAGCAATGTCCAAGCGAGCGACAGGACAGACGGATAGAGAGAGAGAGAGAGAGAGAGAGAGAGAGCCCTGACAACAGGACCTTCGGCTGTGTCCAGCGGAATTCAACTTTAATTTATTTTTACAACGATTCCCGAAGATTGTAGCCGGGGGATGGGCCCGCAACCGGGCATGTGGGCATGGCCATGATTGAGTTATGTTATTGAATTTAATTTGAGTTGATTGTGCACACACACACTAACACACGGAGACACCACACACTAATGCCAAATAGCAAATACAAACACTGAAACCAGCAGAAACCATCAATATACACGAGCGACAAATGAAGACACACGACACGACTCTTAGCCTTTCCAGGGCATTGCGCAACCCGGGAGCCATTGAGAACTTGTGGAGCATTATGGACACATCCACAGCCAAGCCAGGGCCGAGGAGCTTCCCAGCAATTTCCTCAATTTCCCCCCCCGAGCAAACACCACACACACACACACACACACACACGCGCACAGAGAGCAGGAGGAGGAAGTGCGAGCAGCAGACACGTAGACAACACTTATCGCTTGTTCGTTTCCGTTTCATTCGCTTTCCTAATGTACCGTAGCGTTGACAAGCAGGCAACGCCTTGCCTCGCCTCGCCTCGCCCCTTCTAACTCTTCCCTTTAATCCCTCCACCCGTCCACATGGCCTGAAGGTTCACAGTGGGCTGAGAGTGGAGCAAATCAACTAAATTCTTTGGTTGCATTGCGATCACAAGTGGCCAGATTCGGCAACAATTATGTCTTAATTTATATAAATAAATATATCCAAATATATCCCCAACCTACTACATATACAATTTCCATTCGGTTTCTCTGTGTGTGAACCACTGTGCTGGGACGTGTCGGGACGGATGTGCGACACGCAAATACTGTCGGCATTCATATCCTTCGACCCGAGCGGAAATGGGTTGGCCAGGGAGCGGGGTAAATGGCGTGTGTCAGCAGGGGCGGGGGGACAACTGTTGCATGTGTCTAGTTAAATAAGCACCACAGCTCCAGCTACAGCTCCGTGCAGCTCGTCTCACACTTGCCAGCAGCTGTAAAGTGTTGTTCTCGCTGTGATGCTGCTGCCTCTGATGATGATCCGATCTGCGTCATAAGTGTTTATTTGTTGCAAGCAAACAGCAGACGGGCCAAAGCTGTGGGCCAACCAACACCTGCACGCGATACGTAATAGTTTTGGTGCTCAATGAGCTTGTACAGAGACTCCAGCTTCTGCTCCTACTCCTCCTATAATGCTTTTAATGGCATTTGCATATTGAATTGCACATCGGAATAAATGTATCTGAGTGGTGTGTGTGTGTTCGTTTAATCCAAGAGATTGAAACGAATAAAAAACTGCATTTACCCCAACTCGATGCAAAGAAGTTCCTCTGCAAAGGATTGCTGCATTGAAATTTGATAAGCCTGTCCATGAAACGGATACACCGTGTGCTTGATTCCCTTGCTTATTACTTTTTGCATGCGAGGGTTCCACTTTAGAGCACTTTAATATCGTATTTCATTTAAAGGAAGTTTCCCCTCTGAATTCTGGGGAAATCTTTTAAAAGTCGTAAACAATTCTTAGAACTTTCCTGGATGGGTGGGCACATTTTATGAGACTTTCGTGGGAATATTTTATCATAATCAAAGCAGGGGAAAAGGGGAAATTGTATTCCATTGTAATACCAACACACAAAAAAGCAAATGAATAACCAAAAATCGTATGGAAATGCAGTGGCAGTTATCTAAAGAATTGATTGAAATATCACAAAAACTAAAGTGCTATTTGCTGACAGAACAAACACAGCATACAGCATACAGTATGTGCATTGGCCTGTTGCCCCAAAAGCTCTTGCCTGCCTTGCTTCAATGCCTTTGGGCGTGTATTCCCCCTTGGCTCGTGCTGTTAAATGCGTGAAAACGACCCATTTTCGTTCATAAATTGAAACAGAATTGGCGCATATGCAAACACACTGGCAGCTGGGCCTGTGGCAGGATGAGCTAGAGAGGTAGAAAGGCACGTTGCGCATACGCCATGCTAACAAACGAAATAAAAAGAATGGCAGAATGGAGAGAGAGAGAGTAACGGAAACTGAAACAAACAAACAAAACAAGGAGCTCATCCCTACAGCCATACATCCTCATTCATATACAACAATGAAGCGATTCCGACTCGTTATGGAACACTCATCAACTGCACCTTTGAACAACACAACCCGCCGCCCGAAGAGGTCACCAGGAGCTTCCTCCGTTTGGGGGGCCACTTCTGTCGATGGGGGTCGGAGGGTCGCGCGGCCGTTGGACAAAAGTTATGGCAGAAAAACAAACTTGACGCAATTATACTTTGCGTAACACGATCTCAATCAACACGAAAACGGGCAGAGCAGAGCTTAGCCCCCGACCAGAACCCCTTCACCATGGCTGCCAATGCCGTTGACGTTCGAGGCCAGCACCGCCGACACCGTGGCCACCTTTGAGACCAACTCTCAGAACACAGAACACAGAACTCAGGACTCAGGACCCACGACCAGGCAACAGTAACAATAGCCAGGAATAGCAGTCCCAAAGAGCAGTCCATATATATCGTACATATATATATATATATATATCGGGGTGTATAGGTGTGCCTCGGTGAGAGTGTTTGTTAGCGTAACAAGCGTGTAAACAACAGGGCGGCCAGGCGTAAGAGGAGACGGGTGGCAGTGTGGCAGGAGCCACTCGAAACGCGCTACTGTAACCGACCTCAAACCCTTCCTCCATTAGTCAGCCACCCCACCCCCCTTTGACTTGCCAGCCGACAACATTTGCTCTTTGATGCCGCACTGGCAATGTCTTGGTCCTACCTACTACTACTGCTGCTGCTGCTGCTGCTGCTGCTGCTGCTCCTGCTTCCAGCTTCCTTCTTTAGCTTCAGCTTTTCGACGCGACAAACAATCTGCGCAAGACTCAATTCGGATTCATAGCCAACAGGCAAAGGCTAAGGCAAAGGCACGGGCAACGGCATGGGGAAAGGGGCAAAGGGAAAGTCAAGCGAGAAGGAGGAGGGAGGAAAGTCGAGTAGGGCAGTCTCTGTCAGGGAGTCAGGTGTTTTCTTTTGGCTTTTGCTATGCGTTTGCAGCTCATTTAATACGTGTCGTCTGCCCCGTGCCTGGCAACCAGATTTAAGCACAAAAGAAGCATTACGCGCCGCAAGAAGCCGCAGGGCAAAAGTAAAAGCAGAAAATTGACATAAAGGGGTTGGATGGGGCTTATTATGTGTATGTATGTATATAGCTATGGTGTATATGCCCCTCTTCCCACTGTCTGTATGTATTTAAAGGGAAACGAGTGCTCCAACTCCCGCTCGTTAAACGGCGATTAAGCAGAGCCCCGAACGGCCTCTCCTTTGATGACTTTAAAGTCTCTTAAAAGTCAATTAGAGCGAATAGAGCGGCGCCAGCAATTGACAGTGGGTGGCACAGGCACTGGCACAGGCGAAGACTGAGTTTCAGTTTGGGCGGGCTCAAGTTCTGGAGGTATTCTGGTATGGTGCAGAAACTGTAAGTTGGCCACTTGACAGTTTTAAGCTGCCATCTGGCATTTAGCAGTGCCTCCTGTTTGCCATTTTGCCATTTTGCCATTTACCATTTACCATTTGAAATTTGCACTCTGCAATTCACATTGATTGCAACTTTTAGCAAAGTTTAAGTACACAAATTAGTCTATGCAATGAAATTAATACCAGTTGGTGGTCGGTCTGGCAGATCTGCGAGGGGAAGGGCTCGTAGCTGATACTCGTAGCTAAAAAGCAGAAAAACGCCGCCAGCTTGTTTGTCTTTTAAGCTAACTTCAATGCCAGCCGGCTCGGCTCGACTGGGATGGAACCCAGACCAAGTTTACCACAAAAACAGGCGGGCAAATACGGAAGGACGCAGGCGGAAGAGAGACAGAGAGCAGAAGAGGGGGCCAGGGGCCAGTGGCAGGAAGGAAGTCAGGAAGGAAGCACCAGAACAAGCCTTCCCGCCCCTGTAACCCATAACCGCAGGACCAACAACAGCCGAGGCAGCACCAGAAGTAGCAGCAGCAGCAGCAAGCAAAAAGCAGTCACGGAAACCCCTTCAACTGCTCCGGGCAGTCAATAACAGCAAAATTAAACCGTACGAAAGCACACATATGTATGTGCACGAGCACATGGGGACTAGCGAACAGCTACCAGCTTGTACCGTCCATATGCTTCGACTTTTCACGAAATTAACTTTACTTAAAGCACACGACTTCCCCCAGGGACCATAGAAGCAGTTCCACTCCCACTAACGCTCCCGCTCCCAGCTACAGTCTAAGGTCTTCGCCTTGCTTAGATATTGAATATTGTTTGCCAGTTGAATTGCATAAAAAGGATTTCGGATTCCACAGACTGCAATTGTATATCTTTTGCATACAAAAGTTTGCTTGCTCTCTCGAAAAGTTTGACAATCTACGGTAGAAAATGATGAGTTATGGGTGAACGCCACAGGATAGGGGGAGGAAGCACACAAAAAAGGTTTCTACTTTCCTATGGCCAGAAGCAATTGGAGATGATGAGGTGTATAGACATCAGTGTCTAGATTTCCAGACACATAACATAAGCAGTTAGTTTTCAATGGCAATGGCATGAATTATCAATTTCTGGTCTAGTTTCTCTCGTAATTGATTGTGATGCCAGTCTCAATGCCAGTCAAAGCTCAACATAAACAAGCCGGCAACGCATTCAAAATCATTTGCGCCAATGAATCTTTAATGGATATAAATACGACAAGTGGTCGCTGAGGACCCAGACCCGTACACGGACTCAGACCCGGGACCCGACTGGCCTCTTCTTGGCCATGGCCAAACACTGATAGCCTTTTAATTCAGCGCAAATTACGCAAAATCAACACCAGAAGGCGGCAGGGCGGCCACTGATTGCGGAGAGGGGTGCATGCGCATGAATTCATAATCAAGAGGAGCTTCACAGCATAAAAGGGAATTTTCGAGTGTCTTTTTGAATTATTGATGGTCCTCCCGTTTGTCTGTCTGTCCGACGGGCGTCGTTCAGCGCATCGTGGAAATTGATGCCTGTCCCCCAACACAGCGGCCATAAGTTGCCGAAAAAACAACCGAAGGACGCGGCCGCTCTCAATTATGCAAAGTGCGCGTAATAAACCGCAAAAGTAGCCTGCCCAAGAGGAGGGGACGAATGGGGTTGTCCGCTGTCCGCTGTCCGCCGCTGATGTGCGTGGTCATTAATGTTGATCGAACCCTGGGAAATGTGAAGTTCTAAATTTCTACCACTTTTTTCGTACCACTTACCATTCGAGCTCCCCTCTTTGTTATGAAGAAGCGAGTTTATTTAAATGTTTGCTAATGGCGAGGCTCGCTTGGGTATGCTTCTGGTACTGCATGGACTCTATGGAGAGCTCCATGGTGTGTGGAGTGTGCGGAGTACAAGCGTATTGTGGCTCGAGTGGAGGCGATTGGGGACGAGCGGTGCTTGGGTTACGCTTGTTGACTTAAGTGATGAAAATTCTCTGTTTGCTGGTGTCTACTATATGTGTGTGTAGGTCGGTTGGTCGGTCGGCTGAGGGAACCCATCCCATTTCCATTTGTGGACGGGCTTGGGTGGGCGCTGGTCGATTTGTTCTAGCCCCGAGGGAGGCTTGCGCAAGCCAAGTTAATTTTCAAATAACAATCGAGACGAAAGTAGATGGACACGGGACAGGACAGGGAAAGGAGTGTAAAAAGAAAATATGCGAACCAAACGAAATGAACTGTTAAGTGCTGATGAAGATGGTGGTGGTGGCAGTGGTGGTGGTGGAGCATGAAAAATAACCGAGACGTTGCTGGGCTGTAGCTATTATCTATGCCCGAACAAGAGAAATAGAATGAGGAGGGAAAACCAGAAGGCAGCAGCAGCAGCAGCAGCATCATGGATGCTGGAAAGGATTGCAGACTTAATGTAATTGAATTTGTCATTCACCCAAGGCACACGGGCAATTGCACAAGAGAGAAGACAAGCTGGGATTCAAAGCAGAGGGGCGGGGTGCACAGGTCGCCGGAAAGTTGCCAAATCAGTACACACCTGAGCCAATGACGCTTGGTGATGCTGGTGTGACAGCATATGGCATCGTATTGATCCGCAATCCACACAATCAGTATGATGTAAAAGGCCGTTGTAGTGTCATTAAAGAACTCCGACATGATGGCCTCCATTCCTGCAACGAAACATCACGTTAAATGCCAAATCACATTAAGATCACATTTATGTATAGCCACACCTACGAGTGCCAGGATAACGGTCAGTAGCGGAGCAATGGGGAACCTCGCAGACACATTGTACTCCAGCATTTGCAGCAGATCCACTGACAAAAGGAGAGCGAATGTCTTTAGTATCAATTAATGCATTTTCTCACTAGAATACTTACCTATAAAAACAAAGATCTGATGATGCGAGTACCGCAGCAGCATGGAAACGGAGAAAGTCTAGAAAAGATGGAGCACAAAAGTTAGCTGGGGTCCTTGAGTCCACTCGTAGCACTCTCGCATGCTTACAAACAGTAACATCACAGAAAAGGCAGCCGGATAGCTGCTCCAAGCTGCCCACCACATGGACACAAAGCGATAGTGCTCGCCAGTGATCACATTGCGTAAATAGCCCTTGTTCTCCTCCTTCTCTGCTATGGTGCGCACCGCGGCCATCAGTAAGTCATCGTAGCTGGAATGGAATTGAGAAACATTTAGTGATTGATCCTCCAAGCACGAACCAAAGAGGCTCACCCCAACAGACGCTTGAGCAAGTAGCGCGTTAATCTATCGCCGAAACACTCGTTTGTGTTGGGATCCAATTGCACCGTGAGCACGGGTATTTGCAGCCGCTTGCGGGTGGCCGAAGAGAGGCGCAGGTGTCCATATTCCAGCGAATACTCGACAATATACTGCTCATCTAAGGGGGAAAATGTAACTCATGCTGAGATTGTTTTAAGATAGGTAATCCAATTTCCGATTGCTCACCATCATCGTCTTCGTTCTTGAGCTGTATGGCATTGGGGTGGTCGTAGGTGTCGAGTATGTTGATGGCATCGAAGTAATAGTACAGGGTCTCGTTGCTGTAGGCAAAGGTGGGGCGAACGGGCAAGCCCAGCTTGCGCAGGATCGCTTCATAGCGCCTAAGTCTGTTGTAGTTGTCCAGCGTCTGAGGGCCCACGTCATAGTAGCTGCAACAGAAAGCGGATCGTTTGTATACACTCAACACAAGGGTATCTATAAGAATGTTCTCTTACTATGAATCTTTTAGGGAGCGAACAACCTGCTGGTCCTGCTTGATGCTCTGCCAAATGGCTCGTTTCTCTGCCAGATGGGGAATAATCTCCACTCTGCAAATAGGTAAATAGGTTAGCAAAGCAGAGAGATTGAGGGTAAGGTGCCTTGCCTGATGACACCTTCTCGCGGCCAATTCTGCACCTGCTGCAGACAGGTGCAGGGATTCTTAATGAAGGCGTGATGCACATAGACGAGGGTGAAGAAGAACACCAGTGCTTTGGCTAGCAGCAAAAACTCGATGGTCAGCTGCACCTTCCTGCAAAAAGACACCACAGGAATCAACATATGGGTGCACTCATGCACAATGATAAGCAGATAAGGGGCAATGACTCTTACCGTGGCACCAACTCCGCATACGCTGCCGCCGCTCGAAAGTAGATCGCATGGAATAGCCGATCCCGCATGTTCATCATATTGTTCTAGAATTTAAACAGCAACATTTCATAGATAAGCGGTTTGGTTTTTGTTTTTGTAAGCACTTCAGATGCATGTGCAAAAAGTACCTGTCCGGCGCCTCCCCCCAGGCCGCGATTACGCGCGTTTCCATTTCCATTTGCATTTGCATTTCCATTCGGGTTACCATTGATGTTATTGATTTCATTGGCAACGGCAATTTCGGCTGCGTTCTCGGGCAGCACCGCGGCCATGGCTCCTCAGGGCCTGATCTTGAGAGAGGGGTCGAGTGTTAAGAATAACTTCCGTGTCTGGTCCGGGCCTTAGCTTCCGCAATCTTTGATTTGCGACCGAAAATAACTCCGCTGTGTTGTGGTTGTTGTTTCTTGGTGTTGTTGTGTTTTCTGCTTGACTTAATTTTTCATCTGCGTGGTGTGCCTCATCGTTTGCAACATCGTCACTGCCCCAGGCAATCCCCCTGCTGTCATATTGAAGAGAGCGAACAACAACGATCACAAAACCGTCAATAATATTAGAATTTATAAATAAAAAAATAAAAACACCTACCTACCATTATTGTTGCGAATTAGGGATGAGATGTTGAATATATTTGCTGATAGTTTATTTGTAATCGATATTTTTGTGCGATAAGCTGCCCACTATGACAAAGCTGGTGTGACCAATAGCTCGAAAGCTGAATGGTTCCAATGAAATGGATATTGCTATTAAATTCACAAGAATATGCTAATAATAGAACATCAACAGAATATTTGTTGGTAAAATAAGTTGTTGTAGTGTATATATTTTTGATCGATAACACTTACATTTGTGACAACTGGTGTGACCAGTCGCTGGATTGTCGCTGAATGGTTCTTCCAAACGAAACCAGTTCCAACAATGCGCGCGTTCAAAAGCTAAGTTCAAACATGAAAATAAGCAAAAATAGAATGCCATGTAGAATCGCTTTTTATTTTTATTTTCTGCAAACCAATGTACGAAATTAAATATCTTAATGCTTCGATCTCCATTCCGTCATATAAATAAGCTACATTGAATGTCGTTTAATTTAGTTTTACATTGATTGGTGGTTGTGATTTCTTTATTCATGTTACGCTTTTGTTTTCTATAGTTCTCATAGTCATATATATAGTTACGCATATGTATTATGATGTGTATATAACTACATACGTGGATGTTATCCCATTAAGCTACAAAATCATGCTCATAAGATGAGAATGCACACGATTTCTCTTGCCTCTGCTCTCTGCTTTTGTTTTACTAAACTTGACTTTACTTTACCGTTACGGCACCCTCTTTGCACACTTACAAATTGTTTCAACAGGCTATTCGGATTCGATTAGTTAGTTTTTCTCGCACGTTTTTTTAACTTTTTGTTACAAATTTCGCTATGGGATTGTTAAGTTGCTGTTTTCTTTAGCTAATTGTTGTTTTCTTTAGTTCTTTGTTCTGTTTTTATTATATTGTATGTATGTATGTGTGTTGCATGGTGTACATATGTACGTATATGTAAATTGTTAAAAATCGCTCACATATTTCAATTCTATTCTGGTTCAGCGTGTTTCTGTGTGTGTTTTTGAGAGTTTATTCTTCGTGGTGTTATGGTGTTCTTACGTATGGCTTAAGATTCTTTGGTTTGGTGTCTCTTACAATTGGTTTTACATTATATATTTGTATATAAAAGTTACTTAGGCAGGCATGTGTGTGTGTGTGTGTGTTGTGTGTGTTTTTGTGTGCCGACTTACATGCTAATACACGCTAGATATTATTTACTTACCATTTAATATGTTCCTCTTCTACTACTCCTCTCTTTGATTCGTTCGGGGTTTGACAGGACCTTCCAAGAAGCGCCAAATAGTACAGAATGTACAGTTATACAGTTCATAGGGTTTGTTTGTTTCTTTGTTTGTTTAGGTACAGCAATGCGAAAAACGAAAGTGTTGCCATAATGCATTTGCATGTGTGTGTGTGTGTGTGTGTGTGTACAGCAGTGTGTGTGTAGTACAAAAAAGATGGCAGCTCTGCATGTAAAGCGTAACGGTTCAACACACTAAAGTATCGCTATGGATATTCGTTAATCGTAATTGTTAATCGTTCCTTAAATGGACTTTCGGCATGATCGCACACTCCGATACTCCGCACACACGATGACACGTCTCATCATATCATCATATTCTATATGATTTACACTCCACTCGATATACATAAATCCCCTTTGCTAAAGTTATATATAAACTATTCCATTCTGAAGTATTGACAGTCACAGGCTCTATACGAAGCATGCATGCCCTTTGTTTTGTTTTGTTTTGCTTTGTTTTTTGTTGGTATTTCGTTTGCTCATTAAATATATATATATCTATATATATATATATGTATGTATATGTGTGTATGCTATTGTATATACTCAATACGTTTGTATATAATATGTATGTAGTATGTTTTACGCTCTAGATTTAGTTTCGATCCTCCTTAACTTCCGTCTCCTATCATCTCCTCAACTCTGCTTTTCTCTTGGTGTAAAAAAATGCTCTTCCCTCAATCTCAATCTCAATCTCAATCTCAGCGTCTACCCCGTTCTGTTTTGTTTCTTTTAAAAGCGTATTTTTGTACAAACACAAATCGACAAAGGACATTTGTGTAATTAACATAACATTTAAACTATTCGATATCAAAAGTCTTGAGGCGTTAGTGCAGCGTTTCATAGTAGGCCTGTCTCCACGTTGTGCTCCGTGCCCAGGGTGCTCGGATCAAAGTTCAGCTTCAACTCTCCAGCCACCACAATCTCCGATATGCAGCCCACAATGCCGCTGTAGTAGCGCCGATGCGTGAAGTATGCCACATCCGGCATTCCACCTATAGTAGAAGATTTAAATTAACGATTGATTTATGTAGCCTACGAGTCTCTAGTCTGGAATCCAATGGAATCTATCCAATACGTACCAACATATAGGCCAGTATCTGTATTTAGTTGACGCAGCTTGCCAGGCGCTCGCTGCGTGGACGTTTTGCGGCCATCAACCTCCAGATAGCCCTCCTGTGAGTTCCTGTAGGAAAATGGTATAACAAATCATCATCAATGATCCCTGTACTTGCAGTTCAGTCAATTTAAGTCCTTACCTTATAGCTCTCACGCGATGCCACAGGCCATCGCTGACCTTGGTGCCATTGAAGCGAATGTCAACCTCACCAGAGCCCAAATCATAGCGAAAGTGCAAATATCTGGAAGGAAAGAAGTGATTAATAAATTAGGCATGCAATGGATCCCATTTACTTCGTTACGAACCCCTTTTCAATGCCCAGGGACAAATAGTCGTCGTGCTCCTCCGTCGTTCCCTGGCGGCCTGTCCAGAGGATGACGCCATTCTCTGAGTGCGTCTTGATGCGCAGATTTAGATCAATGTTGTAGCTAATGATCTGGCTCATGGTGTCCGCATCGTTGTAGTGGAAATAGCTGTCGGCGCCAGCGAAGCAGGCCCCAAAGTTCTTGCGAACTCCTTGCACCTGCGACTGGTGCTCCGCGGAGAGGTCGAACTTCTTCAGCAGGCTCCAGTCCGTGTGGGTCTGTGGCGTGGTGGAGGCATGGCCCTCCAGATGAACCTCCAGCTCTGAATGCAGCACTGGCGACAGCAGTTCGTCGTTGTCGTCGTCGTTGTAGTCCTCACTGTACTGCACTGTCTCGCTTGAGGAAACCCCGCTGGGTGCCGGTGCTGCCTGCACGGCGGGCTCTGCCTTTTTGTGGCTGCTGTGCGTGTTCGAGTTGGACATGATGCGCTTCATGTCCTCGTTCAGCTGCTTCCGCTGGTAGTCCTCGGTCCCGTCCGAGGCATCGAAAAGGGACTCGTCAAAGACAAAGGCATTGCTGTCATCCTCCGCCGACAAAACCGGACCACCCTTGATGCTCTGGCTGCTCTGACTGCTGGTTGCCATGGCATCGGCATACTCCTGCTGCTGCAGGCTGGCCACCCAGTCGTTGTTATCATCAAAGGTGAGAATGTCGCTGTCCGGATTCGTCTGGAAACTTTCATAGTGGGTGGGCAGGCGGCTCAATTTGTGGGCAAAGGCTGCATTTGGCTTCTGGTGGTGCTCGTGCTTGCTCACTTGAAGCTTGCCCGAGTGCTTGGCCGTGGCCATGGCAGGTGGAGTTGGGGGTGAAGAAGGAGAAGGCGTCTGCGGTTGTCTCTTCCCTGGCATCAGCTGCTGTGGCTGCTGCTCCTGCTGGTTCTGCTGCTGCTGCTGCTGCTGCTGCACAAAGCGGAATATGATATCATCTTCGATTTCCTCATTGCTAAGAGCCCCTGCTGTGGCTTCCTCATCATCCGTCGCCAGTGGAGCTGTGGAGGGGGGCTTGGCTGTGGTTGTACTTGTGCTTGTGGTTGTTGTGGTAGTGGCACCAGTGGTGGTGGTGGCAGGTGGCTTATGCAAATTCTTGCGCTTCTTCGAGTGCTTCTTGTGCGCCACGACCGAGACTTTCTTGGCCACGGCCTCCTCTGGTTCTCGTTCTCTTTCTCTATTGTGCTTGGTCTCGAGTGCCTTGGATTTGTGTAGAGCCAGCTCCGGCAGCAGCTCGGGCGGCACTTCGGCGGCCTTGTTGCAGCGCTCGTTGTAGATGCTGCAGCGGCACTCGTAGCTCTCCATTTGCGGCACGCACTCCGCCAGGGGTCCGCACGGTCGGGCCACACAGGCGTGGGGGCAGTTGCCAATGTTGCTGCCCCCCAGCGCCTCAGACACAATGCCCAGCGAGTGGCCATTGATATCAATCTGTGGCGCAGGGAAACGAGTACATTAGAGTGTGGAAACTGTATGGGATTCAAGCTCACTTACCCTTTGAATGCATCCCACAAAGAATGGCTTGTACTTGAGGTCCAGCGGCAGGCGGTCCACGTGGTTGACGCCGCCCACAAACAGATTCTGCTCCAGGGACAAGTGCCAGAAGCCATTCGAGGATATGGTCATGACCTCCTGGTGCTGATCGATCTGTGGAATGGAGGGAAACGTAGTAAATGCAATTAAATCTATGAGAATTTCCACGACGCTCACCTTCAGCACTGCCAAGCGAGCAGTCCGAGAGATCTTGATGGTGTGCCACTGTCCCATGCTGATGGAGTACTCACTCCTGCGAAAGGGGAAACGTAAGATATGAGTTACCCTTGGGCGGCTAAGCTTTCATCAATCCCTCTTACCGCACCACTGCGGGTCCACTTCCCAGGTCAAAGGCAAACTCCACAAAGCCATCGTTCAGGTAGAGGGCAATGAAGTCGCCGCGCTGCTCTGGGCCAGAGTACAGGATGAGGCCATCAGCCTGTTCTGGCTTCAGGATCACCTTCAGTTCCAGCCAGATCAATGCGCTGTCGCCGAGCGGCGCATAGCGAAGAAACGACGAGCCATTGAAGGCGGGAACCTATGACCATTTTGTATGTAGAAATGTTTCCTTTAGGAAGGTCCCAATGAAACTCACCTGAAGATCCATGCGAATCTCGCAGAGATCCCCGACAAATCCAATGGGACAGAGACAGACGGCTCCCTGGTCCGAGGGCAGGCACTTGCCACCATGCTGGCAGGGATAGCGCACACACTTGTCCGTGGAGCAGTCCTCTGTGTTGTTTACAGACAATGAGTTGAGCATAAGGAACCCCGAAATGACTGTCAAACACTCACGTATGTCGAAGCCATTGATGACATCGCCCAGCGGATGTTCGGTGAACTTGTAGTCGTGCTCGTTGGCCACAAAGCGTCGAATGCAGCCGGAGAAACCCTCCGCCAGGGGCAGGCGCTTGGCCAGGCCCGTGATGTTGCCAATGCCACCCAGGAAGACAGGCTCACGGAAGGTGATGCGCGAGAATAGGCCCTGAAGGCAAAGAATTAGCTCATCAGTAAGAAAGGAAATTCTGGGGTTCGCTCCACTCACATTCGATCTGCCCTGGACCTTGGTGCCGTGATTCAGCACCAGCCAGGCATCCCAGCGATGACGGTAGATGATCACCGAGTTCCATTCGTTCAGCATAATGGTCTCCCGCGACCGCACGCTGCCCACGCCCGAGCCGCAGTCGAACCAGAACTCCACGAATCCCTTATTAAGCAGCAGGGCCATGAAGTCCCCAGTTAGATCGTCCCGCTCGCCGCTCAGCAATATGATGCCATCAAAGGACTCTGGACGGAACTCTACGCGCAGCTGGACGTGCTTGTAAGCGCCATGAAGTGCGGCAAATGCCAGCCAGGAGCGCTTGGCAAAGCGCGGCACATTTGCGCGTATATCTGTGGATGAGAGTGGAAAGGCAATGCACATTAGCTGCATTTAATATCCCCAAAGTGAGGGGAAACCATCTCTTACCATCCTGGCAGCCTTTGCCCGTCTTGCCAAAGGGACACAGGCAGCGGGAGCTGGCGGCGGTTGCCTCCAAGGCACAGATGCCATCGGCTCCACAATCCAGATTGCAACTGGAACTGCTGTTCGGAAAGGTCATTCAATAAGCTTTGAT